AAAGGACACAATACGTCAGCAAAATTAAGCTTTACTAAACAAAGAAGAATTTCCAATGAGAAATAAATCGAAAAAAATATATGAGTAACAAAAAAACTGATCTTAATGAAATTGGAACTCATAACATGCATATATATGACACATTTAATATGCTTGTTAGTTAGAGTATTCCGTTGAGCGACTATTGTAAAAATCTATACTGATTGTTGCAGCCAAAACAAAACCCAAAAAGGAGTAAAAAAAGAGGAGTAGAAACATCCATTCGCGGAATTGAATTTTTCCATTTGGTGATGTGAACGTTTTAAATACAATTAGTCCAGTTGTTCAACAGCGTAAAATATGGAAAAAACCTTCCTATATAAAAAAGAGAAGAAATGGAGAAACTTGGCACGCCGAAGTGGAGATGCTCTTTCAGAATTAAAGCTAACCATTTGGCAGATGTGAGCAGAGAATTATAAGTTTATTAAATTTGTTAAAAAAGAAAAAAAAGTTTGCCATTCGGACTATATAATTGTCTTATGTACGGCCTGCAACCGAAAGAATAGAGAGAGAGGGAGAGAGGGAGAGAGAGAGACAGAAACTGGAAGAAGGACAGACAGACTTGACTATATCGAAATTTCTTTATGCATTATAGCTCGAAGATATCTTCTTTTATGCTTAACACATTTTATAACAAAACTAATATACCCTCTAGAAGGGTATACAAAGTGTAATAGGAACAAATTGTTGGTGTTAAAACGAGGTGCAAAAGCTGCCATAACTTTTCATAACAAAATCAAAAAAAAAATAAGGGTTTAATGTAGTTACCTATGAGGATTTACTGAAGCGAATATGCGCACATGTATTACCTGATGGATTTGCAAAAGTGAGTATATAATATTAAAGCTTTACTTTAAAATACTTAAATGCGGCCTATTTCAATTCAATTTCCTCTAATTTTCTTAACCTATGTCACATCCAACATATTTTCCTTACTTCCGATATGTAAGGCTATCTAATTATAGAAGATATTTTCGCACACAAGAAAACTAAGCTAAGGCAATTAGATTCTGCATATGCCCTATGTGGATATCGCGAGCTTACAGGGTATTGCGAAAAGCTGCACGCGTTGCTTTCATTTATAATTTTATTTATTTTCTCAATGCATTTTGCGCAAATAAAGAAGCAAAATGGGCGCAAAAAAATATAATAATTTGTGCAAATTTTATTTGCCGGCGCTTTTCATTATTTTTATTTGCAGTAACAAACAGCGAAGAAAAGCGGAAAGCAGCCGCAGCGGGGCAAAGACAGCAATTGAGTTGCGTTGAAGTGGCATAAAGTAGTAGCAAGTGGCGGCTGAGTTGTAGTTGTTGGGCTGGTTTGCTTTTTAACCATTTTGTTTGGTCTTTGCGTTTTCCCTTTAGGCGCGCACACGCGGCGCTCAGGTGAAAACGCAGCCAAGGCTCGAGATGTTGGCAATGGAATGTCGAATATCCCCAGCGCTGGGCTGTGTAAATGTAATGGGAAATGAAATGAATGAATGAGCATAAGGACTTTTTTGTTTGTGTGCTTGCCTCTCTGCCCGGCCCGCTCAGCTCGGTCTACCTGTCTCACTATCTGTCTGTCTGTTTGTTCGTTTGTTTGTGGCCGCAGACGCATGCAGCAAAGGAGGGGGGGAGGGGGCGGGGCAAACTGAGATGATGCACTTCAAATTAAAATGCGAATGCAAGCGAAAACTTCAAAAGAAGCCCTAGAACAGAAAACAGAAGCGCAAACGAGATACTAATAGACAATGGCAAAGCCAAGTGGGGGAGGAGGCAACTAACTGGGGCGGTAAGCATGCGGGAGGGGGCGTGTTCCCTGCAACGTATGCACTGCAATTGAAAAGCACATAAACACACTAACACACTGCGATAGCGAAAGTGTCCCTGTGTGTGTGTCTGTGTGTGTCTGTCTGTGTGTGTGTGTGTGTGTGTGTAATACCAGCCAGCCAAGGATAAAGTTAGCGACAGCAGCAGCAGTGCAGGACATACAAATGCACTTTGGACGTGGACGACGCGCACTAAATTCGCTTTAATTCACTTTTCATACAAAACAGCAGCAGCGGCGGCAGCAGCAGCAGCAGCAGCAGCAGCAGCAGCAGCATTGGCAGCTGGCAAGGCAGCAGCACAAAAGCACGCGCTGCACACAGACGCACACAGAGAAGCGTGTGTTTGTTGTAATTAATTTAAAATATTATTATATGCGCACGCGAGCGCTAAACTAAGCCAAAGAAACAGGCAAAGGAGTAAGCAGCCCAGAGACGGAGACACCGTGGATAGAGTGCAAAAGAGCGAGAGGTTGAAAGGAGCGAGGGGCAGAGCAGAGCATGTGGCAGCAGTGACAGGGCAGGGCTAAATAATTATAGCCCACGCGAGCTGCACACGAAGCGCCAGACAAACAACCAAAACAACAAGCGAAACCAAGTATGGAATTACAAGCAGCTGGGCAAGTGTATAAGCGTGTGAAGGTGTGCTTGTGTTAGTGTGTGGGTGTGTATGTATATATCTAACCTATTGGAGCTAAGCGCAAAACCAAATGCTCCAGTCAAGTTTTTTAATTGACGTGCAAAATTCGAGCAGGACAACGCCGACATGCACTTACAACCGACAACAAATCAACAAGCATTGACTGCAAGGCACAAATACAAGCACGAAAACACACACACATATGCAGTCATACATACATATATGCACACCAGCATACCTACATACATGTGCCCATTATATCACACACACAGTTAGAGTAAGCAGCCCGACACGCCAGACAGTGCGCCAAATGCCAAAAATACCGAAGACGACGAAATTGAAAAAAGTAATAAACGTAAAGCTATTACAAAATCTGATAATGGTCCACCGCTGGCAATAGAGCGCAAATGCCGGCGAACGCACACAGACACAGTTGAACACACGGGCAAACAACAAAAAGAGCATGAAATGCAAAGGCCAAAAACCATCAAAGAGACTGCGAGAGAGTGAGAAAGACAGTGAGTGAGCATCGGTGAAACAAACTGGAATCGGAACACAACAAGCTGGCGAAAGGCACCGCAAGTGTAACTGAATGCAAGTAGGGAGAGCTCGACTGCCGCTGGGGCACATAAACAACCGTTACAATATGCAGCTGCAGCGCCAACACTACAACAACAACAACAACAACAGCCGTCAAACATAAACATTGTGGCGCGCGTGCTGCCGCTGCCGCTGCCCCGAATCGTGGCTGGCGCAATATTAATTTCACGAATGAACAACCCTTGAATAACCATACACTTCATGTGCCGTTATTATGGCTTTGCGACGTGAACGAGAGCGCGAATGCGAATGCGAGAGCAAAGAATGCACTGAGAGCGGATGCTCGGAAAGCTTTCCAATTGCCGAACACGCGCGAGAAACAAACAACGACAAAGTTGCTTCGTTTGTTCGGCTCGTTTTTAAAAGCCGACGGCGTGTATTTAGTGGTATTGGTGTATGTGTGTTTTGTGCGTGTGTTTGTGTGAGTGTGTGTGTGCGCGCGGTGTGTGTGTGTGCAGTGCTTTTTCATTCTGCATTTCCCAGAGGTGCATTTTTCTGAAAATCTAATTTGAGAGATTGAGATTGTTTGGTCTTTCAATGTTCTGCTCGCTCGTTCGTGTTGCGACGCTTGCAATTTTAGCCCCAGCCACAACAACAGAAACCATTCTTATATTTATGTGTGTACATATATACGCACACACAAGCATATATGTACACACACGCACACACATACATATGTGTGCAACATATTGGGGAGTTATTACTCAGCAAGCCGCACGGTCTGTCTGTCTGTCTGTCTGTCTGTGCACACATTCGCCCCGTTCGCCGCTTACTTTAATTGGACGCGCGGGCGTTACGGTGTCGTAATTTTTTGAAAAATCTACATGCTTGCCCCCAGTATTCGCATCCGCATCCGCATCAGTATCCGCATCTCAACGATAACGATGCGACGCGATGCGATGCGTCGCAATGGCTTCAATCATTGCGCACAGCGCTCACTGCGGTTTGACAAACATTTTTCACTGGCTGTGCAACGGCAACGCCAACAGCGTCGTCCTTCCACAACATATCTGCCACACACACACACACACACACACACACACACACACACACACACACACAGACACACACCCCATTCGACGCGTCGTGTATGTTTGATGAGTGTGCGAGAGTTTTATGGCTGTATTGGGAATGAGCCGTTCAGGCCGAAGCAAGCGAACAGCTCCAAGGAGGCGGGGGGCTTGTATCATTGAGAGCTGGGGGTCTGGGGGTCTGTGGAGGGGTTGGGCGTAGCTGCCATTGCTGGCTGGTTGATTGGGTTATGCTCTGATTTTAATTTTGAAATCATACAAGTGCAGCACTGCAAAGTGATACATGTGGATTTATTTATTTATGTACGTAAGTGTGCATGTGTGCTTACATATAAATGTGTCTGCGTGTGTGTGTGTGTGTGAGTTTTTGTATTTCACTCTATGCATGTGTGCGCGCGATGCGATAAAGCGCCTTACAGGATTTGGATGATGGCTGAAGGCAATGCCGCTTCTGTTTGCAATTTGATAAGCTCTCTGGCATTATTTTTACGACATTTCTTTTTGACATGCCAGTCGCCTGAAAGTATGCAATAAAAATATCAATACTAAGCCAATGTGTAAATCAGTGAATCTTATTGTTTTACATTTTCCGTCTACCCCTCTCCCACAGCTTCAAGTGTAATCCAGTCGCTGTTGAATACATTTCATATTCAGTTTATCAATTGATTAAAAAACATTTTATTTGAACCCCAACTAGTGCAGTCCACTTTTGCTGTAAATTGTTAAGGTAACGTGACTATTGTAATGCCTATCCTCGATCAGGACAACAGACTTAAACGATATGCATCCCATTTAACATCTTGTGCAGTTCTGTGGTTCTTATAAATATATTCAATGAATATTCATCTGAATAATAAGAAAACTTGAATGAATATTTCCCAAAAATATGAAGCGATTTTTATTGCAATTCGATTAGCTTCGTACATAAATATATACACAGTATGTGTTACATAATCAACTTTAGCAGTAGTATTACATTTACAAACTAGACTATACAGATATCGGATAGAGCGCTTTAACCGTAGGACTAAACATAATCAATGTGTAGAGACGCACTTAAACTAAAACTAGAACTACTCCGAGACTGAAGTGCTACAGTGCCAATACGAAAAGACAAAAGTTAACCTCAACTTTAAACGATATAAACACACACACATATATATATCTACATTAAGGAAATCCTATAGAGATTAGAAGAAAATCAGCTTCACCAGCCCGTAGAGCGCCCAACCGGCTAACGAATAGACGATAGCCAATGTGGTATAGTGCAGGACCATCATGCTGCAAGGCCAGATAATAAATGAATTACCGAGCATATATACTTAAAGACTTAAATACGTACCGCTTAATACGTCTTATGGACTCGGGTAAGTTGCTGGGATCGTCCTTGACAACATATAAGCGCAGCCCATATAAGCTGACCCGAAACAGATTTGTCCAGTCCAGATCGCGCATATCGAAGGCAAACAGACGCTTGTCCCGTTCGTCCAATTTATCAACCAATCGCCGGACATTGTCATTATCAAAGCGAAACTCATTCGAGCTAAAAAACTTTAGCACATTGCTGAACTTGTGTATTTTGCGATAGATTTTCATCATTCTGCAGAAAAGAAAATATGTTAGAAAAATGCAAAAGCAAAGAAAAATGTGTAATAAATACCTGGGTTTCTTGCCCATGAGAACCATTATCAAATCCATGAACATGGCGGGCAATGTGTGATATAAAAAGCAGAGTATGTGATACTGCCACATGTGCGGCACAATGGTGAAGCACGGATACCAGATGGACTTGCGCATGGGTATATCGTTGACATACTTAAAGCCAGTCTGCATATAATTCCGCCAGGTGACCATGTTGTCCACATCCGGGACATAGTTATATATGGGCGGCGTCTCATAGCTTTAATAAAAAAAACACCTTTATATTCACATTGTTGCGGACAAAGATGCCACTTCACATACGTATTTCGTGCCACATCCCAGGCACTGGCCAGCAGAGCATTAACGCACATATCCACAGGCACAATGTGCGCTTTGTTGTCCATGTTGCCGGTAAAAACGCGCAGCACGCCCGAGCCGATGCCAACGATGACGCCGCAGGGTCCATACATATTGTCAATCCAGCCGGTAACTGGCTCTCGATAGCTGGTGATCACTACAAAGAGCCCAAAATGAGGCAATAAGGCGGGCAAGTTAATTCAACAAGTGCAGAGTCGTACCAATGCCCGGCCTAAATATGGTTACGGGTAATTTCTGTGCATCCTGCTGCACCACATTCTCGGCCAGCACTTTGGTGAAGGTATATGTGTTCGGATAGCCCTTGATAATCGTCGGCGTCAGCGTGTTCAGCGTGTGCTCGTCCAGGCATTCCGTGAGCTTGAAGGCGTTGTCGCCAGTCATCATGCCGCTGTAGAACCTCTCCTGAATGTAGCGCATGTTGCAGTGAGCAAATGCGGTCGAGACATGCACAAGAGCCTAATCAGAATAACAAAATGCGAATGAAACCATTGTCTTCAAGTCTTAGCATTTTACAGGGTATCTGATGGTCGTGAAAAGTAAATCTGTCATGCATCGATATTCAAGACTATAAATGCCTTTTCAGGACAGCTGGCTGTGTTGATATGCCTCGTCTGACTTACTTTTGTGCACACAACTTTTTCCTTTTGTGAGATATATTAACCAACTTATCCAACTGCATCTTCTTTGTTGGAAAAATTGGCCAAGAATGAAGGTATTGTATAAAATACCATTGTGCAACCAAGTATAGACATGCATACAACGCACATTTGATATGCGCCTGCAAAGGTAATCTTCCGCACTTTAAAGTGCATGCAAGCGATTTATTTAACCATTTAATATGCCACTAGAAAGAATTATAGCTTTCTTTATACCTTTTCTTAATATTTTTAAGCTTATATCAAATAGTGTGCACTGAGCGCTGAAGTACTTCGCTCTTAGCTTCTATATAATTGACTTTGCTGACTTTATAGAATATCAAATGAAAACTCTTAAAATCAGCATTCCGCAATTATAAATGTATGCATATACGCTAATTGTTCCATTTATCAGATAAAGTGCAAGTTGATTAGAAAATAATACAGGGTATTCATGACATGTAAATGACTTGTACAATAAGATTTACATTGAGGTACGGAATATTACTTCAAAATTCAGTCAACCCTATTAAAAACTTTAAAAGCCCCTAAAAAAAAAGCGAATGGCAATAAAAACAACTGCAGGGTATAAACATAGTCTGTAAGGTAAAATTTCTATTAATTTGTCAAATATAATTAGATCTAATCAGAATTTATTTGAGTCTCCCTCAATCAAATGTTACCAAAACTGGCCACAGGGTATCGGCTAGTCTAGCTTTTTGGACAATTGTGTTGGCGGTGGGGCTTACCTTGAGGTGGACAATCTCTTTGGCCAGCTTGATTATCTCCTTTGTGCCGTGCACATTGATGGCTATGGCCATTTTGAGCTTCTCATCGAATCGCACTGTGGCCGCGCTGTGTAGCACAATGTTGACATTCTCCTTGATGGTCTCGCGCTCATCCGGGGAGATGCCGAGGCCAGGAAGCGAGCAGTCGCCGCTGATGATTGTGATCTGGCAGCGATACTTTGGATTGATCTGTTTCATTTTGGCGAATACCTAAATGGCAGCAAGTACATAATATGGATAATTAGTCATTTGGGGTATGTTGGATGTGGAGAATGGACAAATCATTTACCGGATCGTTGAACAAATCCTCGATGCGTGCGTGGCCATCCTTGCCCTTTTTGGTGCGTATCAGCAAATATATTTGGGCCACCTCCGTGACGCGCAACAGTTTCTCAATAATAACTGCGTACAAATCAATTCGTAAGTATTCAATTATTCAAGTCACGTTCGCGTTTGCCAACTTACTTTTGCCAAAGAAGCCGGTGCCGCCCGTTAGGAAGACGCCCTTATCCTTGTAAAACATTTGCATGGGCGACTCATCTGCAAAGATCAATGCAAACAGCCATTAAACAATTAGCCAATTTGATGCGCATCATTGTGCCGCACCCCGCCCCCCGCCCCACATCAAACAACTCGCCTCCTCCTGGGCTGGGGCAGTGGCAGTAGCTGTGGAAATGCCACTTCCCAGCCACCGTGCTCAACGCTTGTTTGCCACCCACTTGAAGCGCGTCACGAATTTAAATGCGCGCCCCAAAAGCCACTTCAATTGCGCATAATTCACGCCGCCACACACACACAAACACACTAGCACACACACGCACACACACACAGGCAGACGCACACGAACGCACGGCACGTACACAGTCACACTGAGAGTCACAGGCAGTCGCACGTAAAGAGCGTTTGGCATGTGGCTGCATTTTGGCCATATGTCAAAATGGCAACAACAACACTCAAAGTTAACGCCAATGCTGACATTGTTGTCGGTTGCTGCTGCTGCTGTGGCTGGCTGCCACTTGTGGGCCACTCATAAATATTTGCAAGTTAGCAGCTCGTCGAGCTATTCATCTATCGTACAATGGTATGACACACACACGTACATACACACACATACACACACGCACACACTCGCATACATATATCAATGTGTAGAACATGTAGGCACATTCCTGTGTCTTGAAGGTGGCTGCCATGCTGGATCCGTCGACTGCTGTGGCCTAATTGCCAATCGACGACGTAAATCACTGTCACTGCATGGGTTATACGGGCTATGCATACACACTTAAACACTTTGGCCACTCGATAATTGCATAATAAATGCAACATTGTTAAGGACTTAAGCTGGCCCATTGGCTGCCCTCGTCACATTGTTGGGCGTCAAGCATAACAGGTTTACACACATTCATACTCATACAAATACCGGCTGACACCTAGACCTGACACTTGTCGTGTAACGCCCCCCCCCCCTCCCCCTCCCCCTACCTCCCCTATCCATTTAACGACAGCACCCAGGGGTCGCACTCAACCAAAAGCACTTGGCGCGCTCACTCAAATGTTTTGTTTACCTATGCTAATTGGCTTAAATGCAACTCAAGCGCACTTCTCATCGCGCCAAGCCGAAACTGAGCCGCCGCCATCTAACCCAAATGCCCCCCCCCCCCCCCCCCCACTGCTGCCCCCCCCCCCCCCTCCTGCGCCATTGTTTATGAGCGCTTCGCAATTGAGCTCCAGCACCCAACGCGTGGCCTCACTTGGAGTGCGGCATGCGGCGTGCGGCGTGCGTATTTAAAGCTTTTGAGCGCTTTGGGGCATTTGTTCAGCGACAACGCCAGCAACAGCAACAACAACAGCAACAGCAACACCAACAAAACCAACAACAGCAACAAGAACAACAACAATATTGCCACTTTGAGTGAATTGTCAACAATTGTGTTGGCTCTTTGGATTTGCGCGCCGCCGTTGTTGTCGTTGTCTCTCGCAGACAAAAAGTCTGTCACATAATTTGTCAATTTCAACAATTTCGTTTGCCAACCCCCTCCCCTCCCCCGCAGGCCAGTCCGCCCCGGAAGGCGAACGTAATTCTTCATGAATGCTTATTGTTTTTAAGCAGCATTGAACTGGCTGCTTGTTTGCTTGAGCTTTGTATATACACAACTTGATATACACTGTTTTTGTTGTGCTTAGGCCGCCTGACCCTGGCCGTGGCAGTGCCCTCTAAAGGTCCTGGTCACTCACCCTGTGTGCCGGTAATAAGCTGGCAATGATCGTCCAAAGACTTCGTATATCCATTGCGAATGCTCATTAATTTCGCATCCTCCATCGTGGCCAGAAAGTTGTGTGGTCGAGCTGTAAGCAGTTCATGAAATTACTTTATTAATATTATTATAATTTTTTTAAATTTCAGTAAACAAAGAAACAAAATCCAACATTTCCTTTAATTTAATGAAAATGTAACTTAAATAATTTCAATTTTTAAACATGACAATTATCTTTTAGAAAAAAAAATTCAATCTTTAATACTTAAAAACATGCACATACATAATTTAATAAAAATACCCAATAATCCTTATCAGCCTCAAACAACTATTATCAGCTAAGTATTTATAAATGAATGGGTCGATAATTTGTAAAGGGTATCTTTTGCCTGCTCGATTCTCTATCATATTTGTACAAGGTATCTTTTGCCTATTCGATTTTCCTTTTTCTTAATAATAATTGCTTCAATGTTTAGAGGCTAAACAAGAATATCTTTGGGCAAAAATGTTGTTAACAGAAATTCTGTATTCTAAACTAGGTAAATTTTAAAATATATAGTTTTTAAAGTTTCTCAAAGGTCATCAAAGGTCAAAACTGCGTGGAAGCAGGTCCACAAGTACTTACTCAAATATAATGAAATGTAAAAGTGTTCAGAGCTTATGGAAAACCCCAAAACAAGGCGGCTTTTGGTATTATGACAATTAATTTAAGCTTAAACTAAAATTTGTGAGGCAGTTTGAAACTTCAAACGAAATAATGCTGAGTTTTCGATTGGTACCCAAACATAGTTTCAGAGTGTAATGCTCTCTCGAGGCAAGGCACTTTTACATAAGCTGGAAGAATAAACTTTAAACTGGAAAACCACTTAAGAACATAAAACACATCATAATGTTATACTTTGCCATGCTTTAAAGCTGCCTCTATTAAAAAGGCTACATATTTGTACATACATTTTTTCAGCGATATAAACTCCGACTTGTCAAAGTGTTGGAATTTGACAGTTTTATGTTGCGCCATTTTGGGCCTGAATCTGAAATCCTGTACAACGATTGATGTCTTTCTAATTAGAAAATGATTCAATTGAAATGCGTTAAGGCAATTACAAGACCGACGGCGGTCTCTATGCGACTGTTTCGTCGCAATTAAAAATCAAATATAAGTGAATTTCATTACAAAATTTAATTAAAACTTTGCTCGGGCTTTTGTGTTCCACGAAACCCACCGGGCGTTGCGGCGATTTGTACAGGGAAAGCGCTACACTAACAGTTCTAATGAAGTGCCAGACGCACCTGTTGACAGAGACCGACAAAAAGCGAATTGAAAATTCAACTCAAATACAATTTTAATAAAATTCATATAAAGCGGCTCTGTGAAAGCCCAAATGAAAGTGGATATTCTATATATATACAAAATCAACCGAGAGCTGCCTGCCGTGCTGTTGATATCTTTTTTTAAATTAATGCTTACCAAAATAAATAAACAAAAAACAGAAACAAAAACTATATCGCTCAAGTCAAAGAAGCTATTGAACGCTTTAAATATGCAAGTAACCCCATCGAAATTTCAAGAACATCTATTAAATTCGACTAAACACATTTACGAGGTAGAAAATAAACCCTCAGCTTGACAAAATTCTAGTTCGTAATAAATCGCATTTAAGCACACATTATTTTAAGTCTTGGTGAAGATTTGGGATAAAGCACATTTTCAGAGATCTACATTAAAATGCACCCCTCATGGGTCGAAGGTCGTGTGGCTGAGTTCTAAGTTCATTCAACTACTAAACAATTTTCAAAGAGCTTTATAAGATCTTTATGAAAACGTGCTTCAACGATTTTCCTTATTCCACTCGCAACTGTGGAAAATTGGCGGAAAAGGTTGTATGCAACTTTTTTGTTTACTATCCGAACGGTTTCTTACTCATAATGGAAGATCTTTCTGAAATTGAATTTTAAACATATTTAACACCTTTCACAAGACCCAGCCCACTTGGACGATAAATTTGGGTTAAGGTTTGTATGCCCGAAAGTTTATTTGTTAGCCTTAAGTCTTACACCACGAAACAAAATAACTGTATGTTTAATTAGCTCAAGTTCAGGGTTTCTAGTGAAACGAAGTTTTTAAACTTATCTCATAATATTGTGACAGCAAAAAACTTGGGCAAGGATAGACCAGGAAATACCAACTAATTGCATGGATGCTGGCTGGCTCGAGATCAGGCTGAAATAGAAATAAACTAAATTGTCTTTTCTCTGTGCTTTGCAACACCTTTTGAAATCGAACATTACTTGACGTTTTGAATAGAAGCAACAACTTCAGTAATTTTAATTTTAACAAATTGCAGTTACTACTCAGCTTACCCGCTTTCGGGGATAATTGGGATAAATAAATGAGAATGTTAATGTGATAGTATTCAATTTAAGAGCTCAAGTTGTAAACCCAATTACCTTTGATCGCTATTGGCCGAAAACGCACGACTGCTTAATAGAATTATTCTTGCGGGAAATAAACAAACATGGCTCAATCCGCTGCTGATGCGAATGGATATATATTCATATAACATATTGATATGTATGAAACTGCAATATGCTTTATATTCAACTTAAAGTCCAAATTGCTTATAGGTGATTAAAATTAAAAAACAATTTTAATTTGTTGAAAACTAAAATTAAATCCATAACGTATATATATCCATAATGTATATAATCATATTGAATAACATTGTTATTTTGTGTGTGATATTTTGGAGTGCAAAACTTTATGCTAAAAGACAATCAAGAAGCAGGTTGTCGCTGCTTAAAAACCCCTAATAGCTAGTTATCTGAATTGCCTCTTGAGCAGATCTTAAAACGCAAAAGGGCACGTAGTTAACAAAATTTGCTGTCATCCTCAAACTTAAACCAATATTACTTGGGGGCAAATGTAGCAGAGTAATCGAATCCTGCGGGTTGTGTTGAGCACACTTGCTGCAGCTGAGAGAAAGGTTTGCGAGCGCACTGCAGGATGTTCGTCCTGTTGGGCAAATCCATGTCAAACAATCGTTTCGACTTTCATAAAACTATAATTGTGCGTCACTCCAAACATATTAAGTTTTTTAATAGGACTAGAAAATACATTTTAAAATAAATACTTCCATTTCTCAACGAGTTTTTATCGTTTAATATTAGTCGGTGCGTGCGATTAATTATAGAATCAAATTGCAAAATCAGCCAGACAGAAACAAACAATGCTCGTGCAATGGGCAGCTGGTAGCCGTAGTCTTGACTAAAATTTAATTGAAGTGCTCGTGTCGATGACGTTGTGGAATTTTAATTGCGCACAAATTAAAAGCCAAAAAGTCAAGTTCCAAAAAAACAACAAGTAGCAAAAAAAAAAAAACAAATGTTGAAAAAAAAAAAGTAAACAATTACTAATAATGAAAATTACAAATTCGATGACAACTAAATGAATTAATTACTGGTTTGCCGGCGACTAGCAGCAAGTTCAATGTGAATCTATTATATGTAAATGATAGGCGTGGCACAATGCCAGCGTTGCCAGATACACGCAATAATTGTAAAGAAAACGATCCGCAGCGTATTCATGCTGGGCACAACAACAAACAATGGCAACCAAAGCGTGCGCCAGGGCAAAGGAGGCGATATGAAACTGAACATTAAATAATTTGAGTGTCGAAGTCTCGCACAATTAACCCATATTTGCAATGGAAGCCAGCCAACAAGCCAGACAGCTGGCCAGCCAACGAGCCAACCAGCCAACCGGACAGCCATGCAGTCAGTCAGTCATTCAGTCAGTCAGTCAGTCAGTCAGTTAGTCAGTCAGGCTGCCAACTAGCATGTTGCATTTCACACCAATTGAGGGGATTTTCCCCCGTTTGGCTCGACGCGCACTCAATCGTATGAATGACGAAAGCTGTGAGAGGTGTGCGGCAAGGAGGAGCGCAACGGCAGGTGGATGCTGTATGCTCGGGTGGCTGGGCAGATTGCCAAGCCGACTAGCTGCCTGCCTGCCTGCCTGCCTGCCCGACCGACTGACTGACTGACTGACTGACTAGCTGGCAATGTCGGCCAAAAAGCCACATCAACTGATTGCACCACACCGGCGACCACAGCGCCACCAACGCGAACATCAAAACTGTAGAACGCACTGCACGAATTCCCGGCTACTTCAGCTATGATATTCGTTTGGGGGCGTGGCTGGGCACTGGGCACTGGGCGCGTTGTCGGTTGATTTTGTATGCGAATTTATACATTGTTTAAGTATAGGCCACAGCTGCAGGCGCTGCCTTTGCCTCGCTGTTGTTTTGTTGCTGTTGTTTGGCCAACGTCTGTTGCTGCTACCGCCGCCGCCGCTGCTGCCTCTGCCTCTGCCTTTGCCGCTGCTGCTGCTGATGTTGTAGCTGTAGCTACTGCCTGTTGTCGACACCAACTTCCATTGGCGATGCACATCGAAGCGCAGCTAATTGAAACATTTTGCACAGTGTGCCTAAATGAAGCTAAGTAATCCAGACTCATAAATATATATTTATCATGAGAAAGCAATTGCTCAAAATATGCTACGATATCGGTACATATATATTTTTAAATATTTATTAAATTTATTAAATTATGTGTAAGTAAAGAACATTCATGCTCAATATATATATTTCAATATATTTAAAAAGGGATATATATATACAGATACCCTATGTAATAGCAAGTATTTCTGGGCGATTCTTGGCATTTCAAATCAACCAAATCTTAAATTTTGTGAACTCTTTAAAAAGCCCATAAGCAAACTGTAGAAATATTAAAACTTTCAAAAAATTGTGAAAGTACAAAAAAATTATCTGAGGCAAAAATTTAATTTCAAATAATTAATTACGTTGGACTAGCTCAAACGAAATCATTACTGACAATTATATTTTTAATTAAAAATCATCAATTTGTTCAGTTTGCAATTGAAAGTACATGAGTGCAAAAAATATCAATTAGCATTGTGGAAAATTTAAATATAATTTGGCTTATAACTATTTATGTAACTGCAAACATAACATAATAATACATTTTATTTACGCACATAATTGCGCAAGCAAAAACAGCAGCTAGCAA